GGGAGAACAAAAGTCTACCCGACCTAGTTACTGATCCAGTCTTGTTCTATTTGGTATGACCTATAACAGAAAAGTGGGCCACGCGCACGTGTGCACCATAAATTCATAAGACTGGGAAGGGGGCGTAAGAAGACAGTTTATACAATTCAGATAATATCAAAGCGATAAATGAGCGGTAATTAGCACGTTAGGCCCACAAATATAATACTATCATACACTCAATAAAGCCAAATATAGATCACATTACAAGCTCGAATTCTGAACCCTGAACCAAAGATTCTGGGTTCTTGTCCCCAACAGAGTCGCAAGAGCTGTCACACATCTTTTTTTTTGAGGAATATGAAAATTTTCTAATTAAAGTGACATTATTCGAAATGAGATTATTTAATTAATTAGAGTCGCCATTTGAAATATTTATTATGGTGTCCCAAGTCACCGGTTTGTTTTAAAATCCCAAATCGAGAAAATTGACTCTGTTTAAGCCTGCGAATACTAGAAGACCGGGTAAGAAATTCTGTTAACCCGGGAGATGATGTTAGGCATTCCCAGATTCTGTGATTTTAACACGATCTCTTTAATCATACATGGCTTAATTAATTATTTAATTACATATTTTAGAACCTATGTGTATTTTACCTCTTACCGCTTTTAATTATGGCGCTATGGATTTAACCTTTGAAACGGATCACATGTGCGTAATTCTGTTTTTATTTAGCGCGCTAAAAATCATGTCGCGTGTACATGTACATAATTAATAATACTTTATTATTACTAAGATGGTTTGGCCAAAGTCGTGTGAACGCGTACCTTGATTCATGTTTGGAATCATAATTATGTCATGCGAACGTATACATGATCACGATAATAGGTTATAAGCGTGCCTAAAGCAACTACGAATATTTGAAATCGTTTAATTTTCTAACAGTTCTTCGAAGTAGTCCGCAAAAACCATGGATTACGGATAAAGAGGATTATGGTGCAAGAGATGCATAATTTTTAATTTTATTAATGTAGCATTAGAACTAGCTATATGCCGTGTGGAAACATCGTGACTTATTGGCTCATAATAGTTTTATTTTTTGGGATCAATTTATGGCCGAAGTTCAGTTCTAGTTTTGCTATTATATAGTAAAGTTCATTATTTAAACTAAAATCACTAGAATAATTGTTTATTTGGGCATAATAACAGGGACAACGTTTGGGTATTCTATATTTAATTCCAGAGTAACAAAGCTGACTCGTCTATGAGCCAATATCAGCCCACAATGAGGGTTACCCCTCTATCTACTAAATGGCTCATCTAAAGCTCAATGACAGCCTCAACGCATGGCCCTGGTACGATTAAATTGGACTATGCCAGTCAGGTCCCAAATGTCATACGTGTGCAATCAACAAATTTTTACAATTAATTTACAACATTATAACAATAAAACCAAATAACATTAGAGCAAAGAGGAAATACTAAAACTGTTGTGAAAATGAATTGTTACAACATTGTTCATTCTAATAGAATTAATACTATAGCTTTTACACTCCCAATCTGACTTCGCCATATTCAAACTTAATTATTCCATGCTTGAAATACTTGTGAAGTATTAATTTTAAATGAGCAAAGTAACCTATTAATAAACCAAATCTGCCCGATCTAAACATTTCTTATGCGACAGACAATCGATTAATAATTAATCATAAAGGGGCATTTAATATTAGAAGCAGGCTTACTACTGCAATTTCAACATGTCGTATGGCATGTTTTAGGCATATAATAAGTAGGAGAATAACGGAATATATACAATATATTCAACTTATAACTCAAAACTAGATTCCAAACAATAGTCAAGCAGACACAACTTGAGTAATATCAAACAAATTATCAACAATGAAATACAACAAAGCAGTCAACAACTCTCTGTTTCAAATAAACTGAATTTATATTATTTGATCGGGGATGGTACCTGGCTTACAACAGAATAGACAAAAAGAAAAAAAATCTTTGAAGTTAGAAAGGAGCAACAACAAGAGCAAACGCGGTAGCAGAAAATAATACAGAACATCTTTAAACCCCGCTCCCAAAAATCCACAAAGAACCCAGAAATAATAAAACAATGTTGATGAATTCGACAATTCTTTTTCTTTTGTTTTGGATCTGATTTTAACTTTCAGAGTGTTTTCTATGAGAAAAATGAGTGAGGATGAGAAAATTTGCAGAGAATCAGTGTGTGCCTAGTGAAGGGATGTGAGGTGTGTTTATGGAGTATGAGTGTGTGCCTATCTGCAGAAAAATCAGAGAATGTGTAGGAAAATTTGTCAGCTGTAGAGGTGGGAAAATGCATCTTTTTCAACAGATTTTGTACAGTTGTTCCTTTCAAATTATTCCTCCTTATTTTCAAGCCCTTTTACTCTTGTGTATTCCCCTTTTAACCCCAAATTACACGATCTCACCTTTTCTTTATCTATTTATTGCTATTATGTCTCTTTCATACTCTAGAACTTTCTAAATCATTAACAGAAAGAGATTCTCTGAGCCTAAAATCCTAAACCACCCCTCCATACTTCTGTTTTGTACTTAACATGCCGCTTTCTAGAACTTCAATCCTTCCAACCCCAAATTCAAACCAGCGGGCCTGCCTCTTGAGCAGAACAAACCCAATAAGAAATTGAATCAACAGACTCCCAAGCTAAAAGCCCAAATCCAAACAGACCTCAATCATAATTAACAAACAAACCAAAGATGCAACTCAAGTGTTAACTAAACATGGACTTAATCTAGACATGAAATGGTTTATTGACTAATTCAAGCATGTAAACAAAATTAATAATGAACTGAGATTAACTGACAGTCAAGAAAAGCAAATGAACAAAGAAATGAAGGAAATTAGAAAGGGATTACCTATTGGAGACATCACTGCCGGTTTCAAACAATCCGGGCAGTGGTCGATATCATCACACGAACACTGGTTTACGCTTTAAAAAGTGAAACCAGTGCTACGTATATCGATATTAACCACGGACGGTCATAAAACTGAACGCAAGATGATGAAGAAAGGGTTGGAGTTCTGGTGGGTACTGGGTAATCGACCTGAGTCCGACCTTCGTGAAATGTCATGCAACCAACATCACTCAAAAGGTTTCATAAAAGACCAATTGACTGATACAATATGATGTCCATTGGACTCAAGTCAGATTAGAAATAGAAAAAGTAAGAAAAGAATTTAGGGTTCAAATCTTAGATTTACTAATCGAGCAGCTTGAGACGGACTTAGGGGAAAATGATGGTAGATCAGAGTTGAGGGGAAGATGAGGATTGTAGGGTAAAATTTGAGGTTGTTTGGAGCTTGGCCGCCGGTCAAAGATGGATTTGGGGATAGTAGGCGTCTAGGGTTAGAGAGTTTTGAGAGAGATGAGAGAATGAGGGGTCTCTAGGGTTTGGGGGTCGGGTTAGGACAATTTTAATGGGCAAGGAAGTGAGTTCACAACCGTTGGATCATAGGAAATGAAGGGTTGCGATTGGTTAGGTCTGAAACGACGTCGTTTGGTCTTGGGGTGGGACTGGACCGGATTCATATGGGTCTGGGCTGGGCAAATTTGAACCTTGCATGGGTATTGGTCTGCCACAACTTGTTTGGCCCAATCCAACAAAATGCAAGCCAATATAATCCCTTTTTCTTCTTTATTAGGCTCTTTTGCAAAATTAACCACTTCAAACTCAAACTCTAATTAAATCCAATTTTAACCTATTCAATTTAATTTACCTAATCCTTAATTAACATTTCAAAACATCATGCAAGAAATGTCTAAAGTATTTTTGGTATTTTTTATTTTAGCAATGCAATAAATATGCAACTAGATGCTAAAAATTCAATTAAAGTCGAAAAATATAAAAGATGAAAGATAAATTATTTTTGACTTTTTTCATGATTTAAAATGCCTCTAAAAATGCAAGTAAATGCCATAAACATGCAAACAACAAAATAAAGAAAAATCTTTAACAATTCTATAAATCTTAAAAATAAATAATTAGAAAACTATTTTGGGACTTAAGGAGCGCCTTTATGCAGGGCAAAAATTGCGTGCTCAGAGCCATATCCAACAACTTCTCACTAGAGCCTTAGCTTTGTCCTCTGTCGAGGCTCCCCACTTGATCTTAGGTTGACCAAACACCGCTCTCTTCTTGTTCTCCCTCTTAATCAAAGAGATCAAATATACGATCTCCGAAATTTCATAAACTCTTGGAATATTCATTAAGAGATAAAAAATACGTCAAATATGTTTTGCTCAAAGTTCTTGCAACATTCAAGATTCAAATGGAGTGCTGCTACATACTTCTTGATCATTAAATACATCAAGAAAATGCATATCATCTTACATTCGAGAAATACGTCGCTAAGGCCCTCGAATTACGAATAACAAATCAGAGGGAAGAATAAAGGGACAAACAGATTTGTACTCACATTGTTTTATCAATAAAATTATGTTTCTTCATATTTATATTGTTGTTGCAATTTATTGTTGTATCACCAAAGAATTTATTGCAAACATATATAATAATAAAATTATTTTAATAAAGATATTTGGTTCATCGGATTGAAAATAGGATATATAAAATAAGAAAAAATATATATTTGATTTTACAGTAGATAAACTTGAAGAAATTTTTTATTTCAATTTATAACCTTGGTCTTCTTAAAAGACTTTGAGTGAAGAGTTATGAAGATCGGTTTATGTCATTTGATTATTATTTTTTTACCAAAATAATTAATTTCAATATTATCATTTCATACTCCATTAATTATGATATTAAATTAATATCAAAATTATAGTATAACTAATCCAAAATTACTCATACCGGAAATAAAATTTTATCCAAACACGAAATTAAATAATTCACATTGTAGACAGTGATGATGATATTTCAAAAAAAAAAAAAATCACATCGTATGCGGGATTATTTTTCTTTTCCTATGAACCGAAGGATTGCAAATGATTTCCTATTAAAGTAAACTTCCCCTAAAATTTCCCTCCTCCGGCGTTCCACTAAAACCCAGTACCAAAACCCCCCCGTCAGTCTCCTGTGGCACTTTTCAGTTCTCACCGCCCTATTCTCTTCAACCCAAGAATTGATACGGTTATATCAATATCCCAAAACCCCATTTATCAATTTCGTATGCTTCACAGCAACAATGGGAAGTAGGTCGCGTTTAGCAGGTATGGAAGTTCCCATTATTGGCAGCGATTCGGTCAAGTTCGTTCAACTCTCCCTCGCTTCTTCTACTTCTACTTCCGCTTCTGCTCCAACTCCTTTCACAAGAGATGTCGGTTCTTGCTCCATCATTGGGAATCCTCCCGCTTATTTCACTTGGTACACTCCTTTTGCTCTTCATCTTACCTTACTAATATGATTACAAGTTTACCCTTTTGAGTGTGGGTTGGAATAATTGAATGTGTGCATTCTTTCCTAATGTAGTTTATTTATTTTGCACATAAGTGTACCTTCCGGAGTGGGTTTAAAATATTAAGTGTGTCAAGTGATTTATGCAATTCATATGTATGCAGGTGCGCCCTTTTGTGTGTGGATTGAAATATTGGAGCCCGTATGTTGTTAAAATATAAATTAATTTATGCATGTCATGTGCATGCAATTGTGCAGTTTTGAGTGTCTATTGAGGTGGTGTGTGTGTGTGATGTTAAAAAGACCAGTGATTGTATTTCTTGAATGGTGAAACAGTCAATCTTGTTTTAGCTTATTCGAAGAAATTTCTTTCATACTTGTAATTGGAACTCATATTTGTGTGATCCAATTGGTGTATTTTGAGCCTAGCCTGATGCACAGTGGGTTTCCAACATGGATAGAGAGGAGGGATAAAAGTTTTGTTTGCGTTTGAGGACCTAAAGGGCAGCCCGATGCAATAAGCTCCAGCTATGCGCGGGGTCCGGGGAAGGGCCGGACCACAAGGGTCTATCATACGCAGTCTTTGAGGATCTAACATATTAAAAAACGCTAGAGGACCTGTCTTGTGTGACATGAGCTATGTCAACCGGGGGATAGACCTTAGACCTCAGATAAACTTGATGATTGAAAAATTCAGTTATTAATTTTCCAGAGATACATTAGCATGGATGAGTATGACTCCTCTGCAAAATTGTTGTATGTGGAGTTTTCTTTTCATTTTCCTGGGTGAGGGATGTTAGTTAGTTCCTTCATCCTTGTGTTAAGAAGATAAAAAAATTGAATTATTAAATAGTGTTATAAGAAAAATAAATAGTGATGGAGCTTCTATCTGATCAGCCCCCAATTGTGCTTGAGCTTTGCCTGCTTTTGTAGTAGGAGTTAAGAACATCTCATTTTATTCTTCTCACATATCCGTCTTGTCTGGTTGTTATTTTACTTGTTTTCTTCCTTGATGTGTTCGCTGTAGCATATTGGTTTGATGACCCTGGTATTCTTCTTGCACAGACTAACTATAACTGCTGAATTTTGCTGCTACAGGAAAATTTGCAGAAGTCAGCCAAATGTGCTGGAAATAATGGAGTTCTGTGGTTATAAGGAGTTCCCCAAAACTGGATTGCAAATTGTATTCCCAGAAGAACTTTTTCCATTTGCGCTGATCTGCAAAAATGAAGTATGCCATTTTTTGCTGGCTTTGTGCTGATAATAGTCTTGTTTGTTTTAATGGTTGGCAAAGATTTTCATGGATCTTTAACAATTGTTGATGCTCTCTTGGTTCTTGCAGATGACGTTTTCTTCTGTCAGACCGTATCTGCTTCATGCCATGACAGTATCTGGGGTTGCTTATCTTATTAGACTTGAAAACATCTCCAATTATGTATCTAGCTCCCGTTTGCAATCCGACGACTTTGTTGAGTTCAACACTCTGACCCATCCTCATCAAGGAGCAACAACAGCAGTGGCAGGAATAGCAGAATTGATGGTAGTTGGAAGAAGTGATGGATCTGTTGGATGCTTCCAGCTTGGCATCCTTGACCACCGAGCTCCAGGTTATCCTTGTACATTTTCCCTTCAATTTTCATTTTATGTTTTTTGAATGTGTTTTTGGCTCTGGAACTTTTGCATTTTGGTTGTACTTTATGTTTTGAAATATGGATTCTCTTGTCCTTTTATCTTGTCACTACGGTTACTTTAACATAGGAGTGGCAGCTAGATGTTTTACTTTTTACAATCTTGTTGCACTTACGCTTTGATCTCATCTCTTTTCTCCTGTCCGTGCTGACACTTTGTAAGTTGATAGGCTTTGTGCAGGAGCTGCGTGATGATGGTGGTCTTGGTCGTTTGTGGGGCGTTTTGTCAAGGTATTTACTATTTCATATCAGGAAATGTAGTTAGACATGGCCTTCTCGTCTTGTACTGCAGCTTCAAGGGCTTAGGCTGCAGCTACTTGCTGGAAATTGCAACTCTTGAGCTCTTTGAATGCTTCAGCTTCAACTGAAGTTTTCAGTTATGGCTTGCAACTACAAACAAACTGTAAAAACATAAATTTCTTGGAATTCCAATCAATATTTAACCTAAATAACTCTAAAATTAGCAAAAAATCAATTATAAAAACTACTTGTACAATTAAATCATAAGCAAGTAAGTAACATGGGCCCTACTACTATTTTCACTCAAACTATAGGGCTTAGTATTCAATTAGCGAAGTAAGACAACATAGTTTAATTGATTCGATAACATAACTCTATTCCTTAAAGTTATCAGTCCTCCCTCTCATATATTGGGCAAAAAGTGTGTTGGAGCAATAGGTGAGACAAAGTTAGAGAGGAACTAAAATATCTCCAGGTGGGTAGCAAGAGATGCTGTAAATCAATGCTTTGGCTTTTGATGATTTCTAGAACTTCACATACCAAAACTAATGGCTTTACTTGAAAAACAGCATTTGATGCCCATTCATATGAAGCATGTGGAACCCACCCCAACCCCCACCCAAAAAAAAACCCCAAGAGAAGTGAGCTCAATCCGGCTAATGACTATATTTTTCTACACTACATATTTTGACTATGATTTTCTATTTCTTACCGTTTATCAGTTGTCTTATGCACTCTGGTTCNTTTTATTTGTGCTTCACTCTGATGGGAGCTTACGTGTGTGGGACCTTTCAAATCATTCCAGAATTTTCAGCCATTCTTTGAGTGCTTCACCATCTGCAGGCAATTTATACCTTCTTTTGCATTTCCATTATTTTTTCTACTTGAACTTATTATTCAGTTGCTCTTGTGAACATTCTTGCCTAAGCATTTGGATTTTGTCTGTCCAGTGTTGCCAAAGATTCATTTGAGGCGCGCATAAGCCCTGAAACTCAGAGAAGCCCAATCACTTAGGCCGCGCTTTAGTGTAAGCAAAGCACTAAGGCGTGCGTCTCATTGCCCATAAGTTCTATCTTGACAATACTGTGTCTGTCTTCGATTCAGTTGTTGTGGGGGGGGGGG